ACCGGATTGGGTTGTTTCTATTTTCAGTCTTAGAATGCTGTTTTCTCAGTCTCATCAGTGGCCCTCAGCCCAATTCAATAACCTTTTATATTTTTATGTTTTTTTTAATCTCTGCAGAAACAGTGAGATAAGACGGGCTCAAGAGCCTAAATGGTACTCATCCAAAAATTTCCCTAGTGTCAGGATCTAAATTGCACAGCTGGGTTCTGTTGGTCACATGTCAGCTTCAGAGCACATCTGTTCATTCCTCAAGGATCCACTAGGCCCCATGAACACAATGTGCTCTGTGTAGAGTACTTTACACCACAAAACCCAGCAGCTGCAGGGGTGAGAAAATCTCTACTTCTCAAGTTTGTGTCTCTAGGCAGTTTGAGTAGGGTGTTTTCTATCTGGCTTTCTTTTGGTTGCCTGTCACTTCTGACATCCAGACGCCTGTTGGCAACAAAGTTGCTTTTGCTATTCTCAGGACAGATGTTTCTAGCCTGGGAAGAGACGGACCAAACTTTTACTGGAAAGTAGGAATTCTTGCCACATTCAGGCATCAAACCTGAGAAAACATAAGAAAGATCCTGGCCACAGGCTCAAGAATGGAAAGGTAGGTCACTGCCAGGAAAATAATGTCCAGATCTGAAGACTTTTAGTTTTAGCATTTAGGAAAAATATTTGTATCAAATCTCCCCATCTCTGCTGGTTCACAATGGGCAAAGGACACTTCCCTAGTAGGGCATATGAGAAGGGTACAGACACCTCCACCTCACCTTGGAAAGTGACATCTTTGTATCGAAGCTTTTTGAGAACTTTTGGTCATATGAAAGAGAGAGAGAGAGAGAGAGAGAGGATGTGAGGGAGACCAATTCGTGTACTTTTGAAACTGTATGCATTGGAAAGGTTTGTATGTTAATGAGGCTGAGTTGGAATACCATGAGAGTGGTGCAAAAAAAAATGAAGATACATCAAAAGTGAAGACATTAAACATGAATGGGTTTATGTCATAGACTTCATTAATTTGATTCATAGAAAATTATTGTTGTAGATCAAGAATGATATTATGAAGTCTGCTTTTACAATCCTCAAAGGCCTCACTCATTGCTAGTCTTTGGAGGAAGGAGTAGTCTTGGGTCAACATGTTTAAATGAGATGTGAGGGACAAACATAGCTTATAATATTGTAACTAGTTTTTTTTCCCCCCCGCAGGAATGTGTCTATATTTATATAGCATAACCTGTTAAATCTGTACCAATGGCTGCAAATACAGACCACAGAAGCTTCTTTAATAACACACATACACCAAGTCCAAAATGTTCTACTCTGTCATTCATGTGTAAATCAAGTATATTATTCATATACTTCATCGACTTCCTGAATGCGTGCTAAAAATGCCAAGGAAAAACTCGTTAATCGTGACATGGTGACTGCTCAGCCAGCTCTGAAATGTTGATGGAAAAGAAAAATTGTCAAAGGGCCTTTTTAAGAACTTCTGCAGGTTACACTCGCAAATCGGAATTCAGAGACCATGAATTTCCTCGTTCAGGAAGGAAGGATTAAAATCTAACACCCTCCAGTGGTTGCATCTAAAAACTGCATAGTTGCCCCAAATGGCTTACTTGTAAAAGGAGTCTTCTTGTGAGCCACTGGATACCCAGGATCCAAGTCCCTGCTCAGTCTGATGGCTGTATAATCTCAAAATATTAAAATGATCTTCTATGGACTATAAAATCTATGCCTATCCTGATGACATCTTCTTGGGTGTTTTTACGGTAAGTTCTTCAAATGCCAGGGTGTACTACGTGACAACTTCCTATCATTTCTTATGCAGTTTGTTATAGTTTTCAACTAAAATCTTATAGTTTTGAGCTAGGAAGTATGGCTTGTGTAATCCTCACAGCCATGGTCAAGGAGGATGTTCAGACCTGTCCATGATACACTAAAACAACTAATCAATTTCAATCAATTTAGCCGAACAACTAGCTAACTCAATAAGGTGTAAAATATTATACCACCTTTTTGGGTAAATTGACACAGCAGGTTGATTCAATTGACCTGTCAAGCCATCAAAATGGACAGTCATCTGGGAGCACTAACAGGACACAATTTTAGGATGCATCTCTCTTGCTCTCATGCTCTCTTGGTCTCTCACCCATGCACGATAGCTGCTACTTTACACAATAAGCAAATGTCATCTACTGACTCTCAGGTAAAGTGGATCTCCTGTGTTTCATGTTGTCACCATTTCCCTTTCTAATGCACACAATGGTGAAGCACTGTTTCCCAGCTCAGAGGAAAGATTATGTTGAAATATTCAGACAGGAAGACTGACATTTTTCAGTCACTTAGTGGAGTTGATAAAGACTGCCTATTGTGGTGCTAACAATTTTGGAATGCAGAAAGGCAGAAAGGCCGGCACCACATTGAGTCCTACTGAAGATGACCTGACATAGAATATAAATTCTGATATGTAATGATAAAGTAATGATATTACTTTAATACAATTTAGGATATTATCACTCTAAAAATCGATTTTGCAAAATTTCTACATTTAACAAGATGATCTTGGCAAAAATATAGAAAATACATATTAATCTAATGAACTAAGCCAAAAAAATAGTAGAGAAGTGTTTTTAATTTTTTGCCAATGATTGATCAACCCTTCATAGGTATTCTTTCCAATATTTGAAAAAATAAAAGCAATATACTCATTAGCCTGTTTTGAGGACTGAGACTATTCCTACGAATTACTCACATTTTTTTTTTCTTTCAGTAGAAAGCTCCTATTTAGCTTTCACATTCGCCTTGCTAAAGAAAAATGTCTTTCAGACACTATCATGCAAAAACTTAAAAACGTACTTATTTCATTCTCATTATTCCCTCCTATCTTAAACCAACACTGTTCAAACAAAACTAACATGCATATATGAAGCATCTAATGAGCTCAAGTATTCGGCTAGACGATGACAGGGGTATGAGGATAAATGAGATATAGTCCCTGCTCTCATGGAGCTTACAATCTTACTGACTAAAGACATAAATAGATGCAAAACTACATAAAACAATAAAATAATAAAAAATATTACAGGAATACAAAATTTATAGTCGAACAAGTGATTAAGCACCATGAACTCTAGAGCTAGAGAAATTATTGTGAGTTTTCACAGATATGGAGAAGGATAAATAGGATTTGTAAAGGTATAAAAGACTAACATGAACAAAAGCACTGCAAGGACACACAATGTATATCAAAGGCACAATTTGCCTAGAGTGAAAGGTATGAGTAGGGGAAATGGTAGGAGACAAGTTTAGGAGATAAACCTGGGCTTGCACCAGCCTGTAGAAGTGTTTATCTAAGGGTTATGGACTTTATCCTATAGGAAATGGTGAACAATTTAAGGTTGTTGAATAGAGGAGTGACATAATCAAGGAGGAATAACATATTAGTGGGATTAGATGGAAGAGAGGAAAAATAGGGAAAGCAGAGAGTGATCAACGTTGCAGGAATGTGGCAATTAGGGCCTATACTAGAATGGTAGAAGTGAAAATGGAAAAGATGCAATGGACACTGGATGTGGGAGAGAGATATGGAAGAATCAAAAATGACTCTGAGGTATCAGCATGTTCCTTGAGGCTTGATCAATGTAGAAGCGGTATTTCAAGTCATGAAAATGAAGGAAATTACAGAAAGAAAAGAGCAGAGGACCATGGGAAGAAGTTTGGGGAATTCTTACATTTATGGTGCAGGAAAGCAATGGACTAGGAAATATTGTCTTCTTCGTTCCTTTCTATGCACATATAAGTGTGCATACTCACATGTACACACAAACATATATAGACACATATGCATTCTGAGAAAAGTGATGAATAATCAAGACTCAATTGTTTCAATTTGTCTCCTGTCAGTTTAGTGACCACAGTGGACTGCTGATAATCTGAATAAATGTTATTGAGGAATAGTGTGATATAGCCAAGTGAGAACCAGTGTCAAACAGATCTAGGTTCTAATCCCAGCTCTACCATTTGCCAGCTGTCTGATCTCAGACTTCCTTGAGGCCTTATTTCCTCATCTGTAAATGTCTCCACTGCTCTCTCTCCACATAGGATTATTGTAAAGATGAAATGAAATATTGTATGTGAAAATATTTTATATACTGTCAAGTACTGAAAATATAAGCTTTTTTATTTTGTTATCACATGTGTATAAATTACCGCATTTTAATTTGTGGTCACAGTTTAATCCTCCTCCCCAAAGATATTAACATAAACACATATGCAAACTAATTCTAGCACTTTTACTTTCCTTCAATGGCATTTTTAAGCTCTTTGAGGGCAGGGACCATATCTTAGGCTTTTCTGTATTCTCCTTATACTTTACTCTGTGCAGCACTGTGAACATTTACAGAAACAAAGTATATATTTTTACTTGAACCTCAATTTATTCTGAAAGCTCAAATATAACTTTCAATATGTAGTATAATTTAAAAGTAGCATTCAAGCCCACATAGTCCAAAACCTCTTAAAAATAATTTAAATACACAGTAAAAGTGCTATACCCAATGGCCTCATATACCTTTTTAGGTGGATTTTTTCTATAAATCTGGAAATGAGTAAGAAGGCATAAATTCAGAATTATTAGTGACAATGATTGTAAGTATAAGTAGAAGCACAATGACAGAAGACCAGCTTTCGAACTGAAATGCATTGAAAAGACTTGAACTGATTTATACAGATTATTTTTTTAAGGATCATCATTTTCTCAGAACACTAAGGCAATATATTTAAAAATACCTTTAAGGCACAATTTTAAAACCATAACTAAGTTTTAAGTGAAAGTGCCTTTTAAAAATTCGGATGTTAGAAAGTCAGAACACAGACATTCAGGAGAAATTTGAATTTAATAAAATCTCCTGTGAGAAACAACTATTTAAATACTTGGCTCTGACATTGGAAGCTTTTATATAACTTCCTAAAAGAAACCAAACTTTTGAAATACAAAACTTGAAAGTACTTACTTCCACTTGGAATCAAGTCCCTTTCTGGGATGAAGAGTTTGTATCCATAGTGTTTTTCCAGGACATCTGGCAGTATTTCAAGAGCAAATTGCTCTTCTTCAGGATTGTCACAGTCTAAAGTATCTTGGTCCACTTTTGTGTAAGAGAGATAGGCATCATATTCCTTGTTGTCTTAAATATAAAAAACAACAAAAGGGTTATACATATTAGCAAGTTCTCTTTAAGAACTTGAAGTCTAGAACCGCTAACAGGCTGGAATAAGCACTATAATTAGTGACTATTGTTAATAATTGGAAAAAATAAGTCACATGCCATGTTATAAGAAATCTAGTACATTTCAACATAACCTAGTCATATGATATGAACTGAAACTGTTATCCAATGGGCAACCTATAGCAAGGACAGAATAAAAGAGAGAATTATTATTTGTGACTTTTGGTGACTATACATATTTGTGATGTTCAATGATGTGTGAATGATTAGCTTAGTGTGTTTGAATGCAGGACTAAATAGACCAAAGTCATGGATTTGAACTCTTTCTGTGCCAGTTGGCTTGGCTCTGTTATTTGGTCACAGACTATACCTTGTTTGCACAAATATGTAGAGAGATCCAAAAGGGGCTGGGCCCTAGAGTGTGGAAGATTGAAATAATCCAGACTCACTCCTGGTGACACTACTCATAGCACATGTCATACTTCCAGTTGGTTAGTTTCATCATCTTCATATACAAAAAGCAGTTCATTACCAAATATTAGAGACAACAGCTGGGTTTTATACAAGTGCATTGCCTATTATTCTTGTTCAATCCATGGCCAACTAATTTGACACAAGTTTCCAAAAGAAACCTTTGTTTCGAAATATACATCTTTCCAGTATTGCCAAATTAGGTTTTCCCTTCACACATTTAGTCAGAGAGTTAACTGTACTTGGAGAATGTATTTTTTTCCTCCTTTGCTGTATTGGCTCAGCGCCAGCATCTCCAAAGAGAAAATGTGCATATATACAGATTTTTTCCGAAAAATATTAATGAATACAGCTACTCAAGGTATTAGTCCCTATTGGTTTTAGAAGGGCCACATTGGAAAAGTTATAGTGGTTTTCAAAATTCCCTCATTTATCAAAAATTTATGTTTAAAAGTTAATGTAGTGAGCATAGACTCATATGGAACTATTAGTATTTATTAAACCTAGTTACTTGCAAATAATAATTTGAAAAGACAGGTAAGCATTTCAGGATTTGTTTCTAAAACACATCAATATTTTCTATTAAAACAGACCTGATTAGAATATAGCTAAAACCTGATCAAAACGTAATTTACAGAATAAAGCAGCCACACACTTACCTACACCATTAATGATTCGGTTCTACCTGCTGAAGGAGTAATAAATGATAGGCAAATAAAGAGATATAAATACCCTATGGTAGAAGTAGGCGGGACCCCTGACTATCTAGAGATGTCTGAAGCAGGATTATGTTATTCTAATTCTAGTAAGAGTCTAGCCTTCACCACCCCCACATGAAAGAAACTCTGGTTGCTTTTTTTTTTTTTTTTGATGAGGGAGATTGGCCCTGAGCTAACATCTGTGCCCATCTTCCTCTATTTTGTATATGGGTGGCTACCACAGCATGGCTTGATGAGCTGTGCGTAGATCCACACCGGGATCCGAACCTGCAAGCCCCTGGCCACCGAAGCAGAGCACGCAAACTTAACCACTACACCACCGGCGCCGGCCCCAAGAAACTCCGGTTTTTATGTTAAGATGGTGCCTGAAGCCACGAGGCTTCTCTTTAGCATGTTCTCTGGCTGGAAAAGGCTTCTGTAAACCGTGGTTGGGTTACTTGATTGCCTAGAAGCAGATGCACATGAAGGACTGCCCTTGATAGTTGAGATCATTTGGCTTACAAATGGGGCACATTCCATTGTTATACATAAAATGCCACTTGGAAGTGAGAATGTTCATAAGGAATGCTAATGTAAGAACCTCCTGGTACTCTTAGCACCTCTGCCCCGTTCCAATCAAGCTCAGGATGCACCTGCAGGTCCTTGACTTTCTCCAGCTATGATTACTCACTTGGGACTAAGGGCTGCCGATAATACACAGCTGGAAGAATAAAAGAGGCCAAAGGACAAACAGCTCCATTCCTATGAGCAGAATGTATTTCATTGTTCTTGGTGGATGGTGTTGCCGCCTCAAACTCCATAATGTCAGACTAGACCCTTGTTTCCTCTAACTTTTATACCTCACAAACCTCCCTAAATTCAACTACTTACTAATTTAGTCAACAATGATTTGTTGAGCATCTACTATGAGCTCGCCATCTGCAATGACTACTTGACTCTTTCACCCATCTGACGTGGCCTTCTGGACTCCTGCCCCATAGCTTGTCCTGACTATGACTATTTGCCCTCCAATCATGCCTAAACTCACATATTCCTGGTCCTATCCTTACTTGCTTCACCTATATCCTAATACAGGTGATGCTACAAAGACCTTCCTCTAGAAAAATATTGCTATATTTGCATATCCCAAATCAGATTATGACAAAAAACATTGATGTGTTTGATATGTGTTAACATCCAACACAACTGGATAATAAATTTTACCTAACACTCTAGAAACACATCAATTTTTGGAAAATCATTGCTTCTGGTTTCAGTCATGTCCCTTTAAGATGAACTAAAGGTGAAGAGCTTATGGTGGCTGGCCAGAGCAGGAAGAGAGCTCTCAAAGCCACCATGTCAGATGTCCCAGAAGCTCTAGGATGCCAGCTAGTGAGCAAGCAGTGACCCAGATGCCACAGTTTAAAAAATGCACTTCAGCCTTATGTAGACAGCCAAGAAAACCTCATGAATAGCCACAGCTGTTGCTCACAAAGAAGAGCAAGACGGATAGAGCAAAATCAACAACGTGATGCAAATAAGGTTAACAGCAAGGCCTGAAAATTGTTTTAAAATCAAATGGCAATTCAGTAACACCACTTTTCTAGGCAAGGCTAATGAGCCTTCCTCTGTGTTAAATTATGCTGACTAAGCACATCTGATGAACCAGAAAATAGAGCACAATGCAGACAGAGCATTATAAGGAAGAGCGCTTGCACAAGGTTCACCATACCTATGTCATTCCAAATGAAGAGAGAAGTTATGAGAAAGGGAACCAAACTGTGTGTGGAAGAATTTTCCTGTTGTCACACCTGTCTTTCCCCATTTTTAAATCTCATTTTAATCCTGTTCACTATCAGGAAGTCATTCCTGTTTACAACTCAGTTCTTCTGGGGCTATGTTAAACACAGGGCTAAATCCTTAGCTTCTAAAGGCAAAAACTGTGTAACTTTGTTGATTATTGTATCCCTAGTGCCTACTATAGTACCTGTGTCTCTGTGTGTGCATATAGTGTTTATCCAGATGAATATAAGTAAATAAATACATCATGCCTAGTGCCTGCCACATAATAGACATTTAATAAATATTTAAGGACTGAATAACTCAAATGTTGAATCAATGAAGCAATTATTGCTTGGCGGATTGAAATAAAATGAATTATATCGAAAAATGGCTAAGAAGTCAAATTTGTTGGATAGATTTTATTTTATAAAAAATAAGCCATTTTTATAAGAACTTTCAGGAAATGCTACTATAGAGATGAATCAAAGAAAAAACATGAACAAAATCATACGGGTAAAACTATGTTGTGTCTATGAGATGCCAAAATATTTAAATGAAGCAATGAAAAATTCGGTAGGTTATCTAGCTGACATTTGGCATCATGAAATTGGATATTTCTAAAAGGGCTTTAATATTCATTTATTCATCCTTGCTACATACCTGCTGACTTTTTAGTATTCCATTCAGCCAGTACAGAGATTGTATATTTAAGGTTCGAGCTTCCATGTAGAAATATGAAATATTTTAACTTTCCTTCCTAATGAAAACCCTTGAATTCCACCCCCCTACATTGCATTTTCCCCCAAAAACAATTGCTTTGAAATCAATACATACAATTCTTTAATCAAAAGGCTCTAGATTACTTGTCATCTTTGACCACATGGACCACATTGGAGATACAGATATAAAATGGACTATTTGATCCCTGAAATGTCCCATGACATTAGCAGGAATTTAATCTTACAAATATGTACTACAATGGATCAGTCTTGATTATTGAGTATGGGTGATGCAAATAATTAATTATTGCAGATTAACATAAATTGTATCATCTCTTACAGCGAGTATTCACAAATCGCTTATAATCATGACTCAAAACAAATGAATCACAGGAGCCTCCCTTGCGTGTTCTTTCATATAGACAATGCATCTTTTACATTCTCAGTTGGATACTTTAGCCATTTGTTGGCACCTTGGGAACCAGTGACATTTTCCTCAACACTATATTTCATCTAGTCTTTTTATGTGTACAGGTAAGAAGTCATATTTTTCAATATTAATTGTTGTACATAGAAACCGAGGATAATTGACCACATTTTCATATATATTGTTGGAGCATATAATTATGGTCAGAAAAGGCCCTAATTTCTCATTTTGAAGATATATCTGAATAAGTGTCTTTAATAGTTTTAAATGGGCTGCTATAAAAGGTAAATACACTACTTTGATAATGAGAATGTATATGTACTCATCAAATAGCATTTCTCTAATTTACTGCAAAAACATAAGTCAAAATACACTCATATCATTGCTTATATAATAGTAACAATAAAACAAAAATCAAAGATTTCTTAAAAATTTTGATGTTACAGTCACCATTCTGCCTTTCTGCTATCACTATAAGAAGAAAACAAAATCATGAACCCCTCTCATTTGAGGAAAGAACATGATCTCAAAAAAAAAAAAACAAACAAAAGCTCTAACCTTCATTATTTCAACACAATGAAAACTAAGATTTATCTTTTCTATTTTACCTTCTGCTTCCTTTTTTCTTTACCTTATTTTTTTTACCTTTTGACCCCCTTCACCCATTTTTTCCCACCCTAAATCTGCCTTTTTAAAGCAATGACTTACAATTGGACTTTTTTTAAATCTTGGCGTATCTAAGGCATTCCACACACGTTTCCAAAGCTTACACTAGTTTGTGGGTGAGGACTTTATGCATAAGGAATGACAAATCATGATTTTTTATTTGTATTGATTGAAAATATGGTAATTTGTTCTCTTGAAAAAATTTAATCATTTTTGGATGTTCAAAGAAATAAGGATCAATACAATGCTTTATTGATATTTCATTCATAAGATTTCCAAGGGCCGTAAATGGTTAACATAAGAAAATTATAAGCCACATTCTGAATTTCTATTCTTTGAGGTCACTTTTGAGAATGATGCTACAATCATCCAAAATATGTGGGTCCAGCTGTACTATGAGCTTTAAAAAGAGTATTTCCACAGCTTTTAATCTGTTTCTTGCATGATTTGTCTATTTTTTGATGCCTGGAATGGCTAAAAATGATCTGTACCTAAATTTGAATTTTCTGGAGGAAAAAGTGGAATTGATTCTTAATTTGTTTGTTAGTAAGAGAAAGGACTTTGACAGCAATCATTTTATCTTCTGATCAACTAATGTCTCCTTGTTAAACTTCTTATTTGGAAATAATTTCAAACATACAAGAACATTACAAAAATAAAACTGTTTCAAAAAACTCCCATATATCCTTTACCCAGATTCACCTATTGTTAACATTTTCTCCCTTTTGCTCTCTTCCTTTTCTTTTTTTTTTTTTTTTTTTTTTAAAGATTTTATTTATTTTGTTTTTTCCCCCCAAAGCCCCAGTGGATAGTTGTGTGTCGTAGCTGCACATCCTTCTAGTTGCTGCATGTGGGACTCGGCCTCAGGATGAACGGAGAAGTGGTGCCTCGATGCGCACCCGGGATCCGAACCCGGGCCGCCAGCATCGCAGCGCGCGCACTTAACCACCAAGCCACAGGGCCGGCCCTGCTCTCTTCCTTAATAAATAAAAATTTTCTGAACTATTTAAGAGTAACTTGCATTAGTCATAGCCCTTTAACTCTAAATATTTCAGCATGTATCTCCTAAGAATAGGGATATTCTCTTATGTAATCACAAATTCATGCCTTTTAATTGAATTTGAACAATAGGAGACAGCTTACCATCGCTAGTTTCATCACCTCCAAAATGTTGTCGGTAGAAGAGCATCAGTTCAATGTTGTAGCATTTGTAGATGGCCACAAGCAGTACAAGGAGGAGGAATATTGCTCCCAGGCCTCCTGCAAGCTCAATTTTGTAGATTAAATCTGGAACAAACAGAATAAACAGGAAAAGGCAATTAAGTCAGTAACACTTGGGATCTTCCCATATTTCCAGTCTGTAAGATGTACAACTCATTCCGCTTCTCTTTCCAGAAGATTCTTGCTTAATGCAGTAACTAGCTTTGTTCTTGATACATTTGTGTAAATCAAATTTTTGTAAAATTAACTCATTTCTAAAGATTTGAGTAATTTTACTATTGAAAGTGGTAAGTATATATGAGAAGAAATAGTCACTCCCAATTTGTTTTTAACATGTCTAGATCTCACATATGTACTTTTGCTTTAAATGTATTTCAGGGAACTATTAGAGCTGCTTTTTTCTAGTCCAGGGCCAATATTTTGTTGTTTCTGTTAAATTATCTTATTAGCTTAGCAAGATTACCATTTAGTACTTCTCGGGACACAGGCCCTATTCTTCTATAGGAGAACAGAATCATAAAATTATTCTCAGAATTAAATAAAATCTAATGAGCTTGCAGGATTTAACTGTTTCATTTAACCCCAGTAAAACATAATCCAATAGAAGGCAAGCAAGGAAAATTAGCTTATCCATTTCCCTCACTTATTTGAATAAATGACTATAATATGTATGTAATGTAATATGCCCAATAGGGCTAAAAGAGAATGAGCAATACAGGCTAATCACCTGGCCTATTCAGCCAACATCAGGCTACCTAATAGCAGCATTAGGCTGCTCTGGTGGGGCACTCCTAGAACTCCGCAAGTTGGAACACATAATAGAAGGAGACATAATGTATCCCAGGCTCAGGGAATAGTGAATTACCTGTAGCTTAATAAGTGATATTAAAAAATCTATGGTGTATCATCAAACTAGCAGATAGTATCATGGAATTTAGAGAAATAGGAAGTCAGAGAAGAGTTTAGACTATGAATTCAGCAATGTCCAGAGGAGAAATGCTGAATCTGAAAGATACCATACCACAGACATATTTTCCACTGTGGGACAGGAACATTCATTGGTCTCAACATAATACAGATAAAATTGCCTAAAAGATTAGGTAACCTCCCCTTAATCTAAATCCATAATCACCAAGTGACTCTTTTATTGCTAATTCAGTTTACCATGTAACTAGAAACTGGAAAAGAGAGTGGCATTGTAGTTTGTACATCAGTTGCTTGTGAGTTTGGTTGGCATCAATCAGCCTCTCCGGATGGATCAACTCTCGAGCACTGTCAAAATCAAATTTCTGACCATGACAGACTGCCACTCTTGAAGGTCTCTTGACAATCAGATTGTCAACTTTTCCCTGGGAACGTCCGTTGTTTCTACATAGGCTTATTGCTTAAGAGAAATTAGTCAGGCTCAATATAACGATTAAGATTAAGATTAAGAAAAAAGACAAACATATAAACTATATACTACAAGTAATACATAGTCAAGATAAAATGTTCAACCAATCTATCTATTCTCTAAGTAATCCTTTAGGGCAAGAATTGTTGGTCCAAATTTATAGATGAAGTATCTGAGACACAGCAGCTTAATTCAATTACCCAAGGTAATACACCTAAGAAGTAGCCAAGATGGGACTTAAGTCCAAATATCCTAACTTCAAATTCAAGGCTCTTTTTATTACACCACAGCTTTATAAGTTCCAGCCTGGAAAGTGACAACAAAACCTTCTCCCTGTTCTTCCATAAAACTGTTGGTAATGCTTCTTGAGAACATGTGACTTGAAGTGAATTTTGGCTCCTTCTGCCCTTTCAGTTCTAAGGAAAGAAGCTAAACTACAATTCACCAGACAGAATGAAAGGACTTAGCAGATTTCAGGCACTTCATTGGAGGGTACTGAAGAATCCTACAGCTGTACCAGGAAGGAAGGAGGGGCTCCCTGGAGTCTAGCATATGAAGAAAAATTTTAGGTTTCATGGGGAGAGAGGGAATTTGGTCTTGGAAAGGAGGTGAAGTGAGAGAGGAGACGGTGGTGGCCAGAGAGAGCATGGCCAATCAGGAGTGACACTGAGTGGAAATGTAAGCAATATAAATAAATGACACTCTTTTTGAATAAGGAAAGAGGGGTAAGATGGAAAAAGGAAGGGAGTGGAGATGCTGTGAGGGACAAAATGTGTTAATAAAGAACAGTATGAGGGGACACAATGATGTCTCCTACTAATGAGTAGGGATAGGAAATTGGAATCTATCTCTGTCCTGCCTACTGCAAAAGGTGGTCATTTTGAAAATTTAGCCTCAAAATTTCAGGTAAAAATAAAAGTCCTACCACACATTAGCTCTGCCTCCTGCCCTCTATGGAGAAAGTGGCTCCCCAGGAACCATGCCTGCCTCAATGTGAGAGGCAAGGCAGACTTGCTTATGAGACCTCTGTGGGACTGCAATATCACAATCTTTGCTTGTTTTCTCATCATCTTACATCAGTTATGCATTCTTCATGGCCAGTGTTAAATTGACAGAGCAATATGATTTTTTTTGTTACTCTGGAAACTGACTTCTCTTTGATCTTAGGGTATTGATTGACTTGATTCAACATGTTTGCCCTGCTGTAAAATGTTCATTTTATGTTGTAAATTTTTTGGATTCTCTCTCTTGCTGTCTCGCTTTCTCGTTCTCTCTCTCTCTCTCTGTCTCTGTCTCTCTCTGGTCAGAACAGCTTTCAACTGTTTTCAAAGTCACCAAATGGGAATTTTTCCAGCAATTTCTATGTTATTTACAGAGTAGAGTTGCTATTAGGTAGATGGAAAACTTCAGCAGCAGGAACAATTTGTGCTCCCAAGTAGCAGACACCTTTTTCAGTAGTAAATTTATGGAAGAAAGTCGTGGTGTGAAAAGTACCTTTGTGGTTTTGGGGTCCATTTTATAAAAACGTCTTTGAAAGATATTACCTAATGATGGCTGTTTACATTGAAAACTGTGGACCTAGTTCCTGAAATTCAACCAGTATTCTTTGATTTAGCCCAGGCAGTCACATTAAAAGGGAAACATGTATCCTATAATCAGAGGGCAGAATTGCTATCACCCAGATGACAGCAGGCTCTCCTTTTGTCTTGTTCTCAACTGCCATTTTCCATCTCAGCAGTATCTATACTTCTAAGGACATTTCCCGGCTGAGAAGATGAAAGTCATTTTATTTGGACTGTGTCTTGTATATACTTCACAAGGATAGCTACAGCCAGAACAGCAAATATTTATGGGATTGTAACTTTTTCTAGGCACCCGAAGTACAAGTGTAGCTCTTTTTGACCTTCTTAGTTTGAACCTGACTACTTCTTCATTTTGAACACAAAGATCAGACATTGTAGAATGGGACAAATAGCAGTTAAAGACAAGGGACTGGAAAGAGGGAAGGCTGGAAATGTTTTGAGCTTGCTCATAAGTTAGGAAGCAGGTTAGGAGATCCCACATGAGGGTTTCCTGTACAGATTGGGGGTTCAGGGTGGGGCGGTAGCACCGGGAATGAAGAGAAAGATTCAGTGATATGCTTTTGTCTGTGGGAAAGAGAGTATGAAGAGAGAAGAAATAATGATCAGAATTTCTTTAGTATAAGTTCAGAGTCTTGGTTCACCAAAAAAAAAAAAAATATATATATATGTATATATATAGGATGGACTTCTTACCGAAATGTTAGTTGTACTTATTGACAAATAGTTCATCAGAGAGTACGGAAGTGGTAGGTGTACATAGAAAAGGCATAGTCAAGGGATGATTTGTTTTGAGAAAGCCTGACCCTATTAATTGGCTATATTAGACATGAGTTTTCATTTACAAAAGGCCTTTTCACTTTATGAAAGGATTCATCAAATCTTTCTTCTCCATAATGACCATTTAGGGTGTTTTTAATATTGGAGTTACAGCTCATCAGGACGTTATTGTTCTATGAAACAAGGCATACTCATATTCCAAATGGAAACACTATAGCACTGAGGCCAGGCTATGACATGATAAAGCCTGAAAGGTTTAACTCCAAAGGAAATATATGAAGTTTTGCAAAACAAGCCAGAGTTCAGTCTGATTAAAAATGTTGGAGCAGAGCCACAGGGCTTCTTACTCTTTTCTGGAGCTCTACCATATATTGTCAAGAGCTCCTAAGGAGACTGAGCGAGGGAAGATGAACTGCATCGTTTTCCAAAACAGTGAAGAAATTTAACCACTACCTAAAACACAGTGCAAACCCTGGGCCTTAAAAAGGTTTTGTTGGTCTATATAATGTTTCAAAAAAAGTGGATACTAATATTTAAAAATCAAAAGATTTCATATCCAGTCTTTTGACTTCACTTGAAAACTCTGAAACTCTCATATCCCTGGGATCACATTCCAGCAAGCATGGCAATACTCTTCTAGAAAAGAGTAGTGACTGCTCCCTTTAAAGCAAGGCATGTTTTCTCTAGTCTCTGTTTTGCTTTTCTAATAGCCAGTCCTCTTTTTTAAGCCATCAGAAACGATGAAATCCAGCCATTTGTGACAACAGGGATGGACATTGAGGGTATTATGCAAAGTGAAATAAGTCAGAGGGAGAAGGTCAAATACCGTATGATTTCCTTCATTAAGTAGTAGATAATAACAACAATAAACAAACACATAGAGACAGAGATTGGATTGGTGGTGACCAGAGGGGAAGGGGGGAGGGGGGAGGGCGAAAGGGATAATTCGGCACATGTGTGTGGTGATGGGTTGTAATTAGTATTTGGGTGGTGAACATGATGTAATGTATGCAGAAATAGAAGTATAACGATGTACACCTGAAATTTATACAATGTTATAAACCAATGTTACTGCAATAAACAAACAATTTAAAAAAAAAAAGGTAAAGAAATAAAAAAAAATAAAAATTTCAATATCTGCCTGGCCCTGAGGTCTTTGAGTTGTCAATCTCCAATATGGAAAGTGAATGTCTTTGAAAAGAGAAATGCATTTAGATAACCCAGGGCAGACATTAATCAAGAAAAGATCACAGATAAATACTCTCTTTACCAATACTTGTTATCCATCCCCTACCCTATTGCACTGGTCCTCAAGGAGGAGCATTTTCATCCAACAAATATTTTTGATAATTTACTATGTTCTCTGCACTAGGGATACAGCAGTAAATAAGGCAGAAAATGTCCCTGTTCTAATGGAGTTTACATTCTAGCGAGGAAAAAAGATAAGAAGAAAACAAATATGTAATGTGATATCAAATAGTAATAAATACAATAAACAGAAATGGAGCTAAGTTAGAGGAAAAAGAAAGAGATGGGTAGTCTATCGACAGATGAATGGATCAAGAAAATGTAGCATATATACACAATGGAATATTTTTCAGCCTTAAAAAAGAGGAAATCCCGTCACTTGCTACAACATGAATGAACCTGGACGGCATTATGATAAGTGAAATAAGCCAGACAAAGAAAGATAAATACTATACTGCTTGGTATCACTTATATGTGGAATTAAAAACAAATGTTGAAGTGATAGAAACGGGGAGTAGAAAAGTCGTTGTCAGGGCCTGGGGGGTGAAAGAGGAAAGAGGGAGAGATTGGTAAGAGGGTACCAATTTTCAGCTATAAGATGAATAAAGTTTGAGGATCTAATGTATAACATGGTGACTATAGTTGGTAACACTTATTGTATAATTGAAATTTGCTAAGAGGGTAGAAGTAAATGTTCTCATCAAAAAAAAAGTAAATATGTGAGGTGATGGATGTACTAATTAACTCAGTGGGGGGAATCCTTTCATGATGTACACATATATCAAATCATCCCATTGTACACTTTGAATATCTTACAATTTTGTCAATTTTACCTCAATAGAGTTAAAAAAATCCAAAAAAAAAAAGAAAGTGATGGGTAGTACTATTTTATAAAGGGTGGCCAAGGAAGGCCTATCCAGTAGGTAATATGTAAGCAGAGACATGTATGAAAAAAGGGAGTGAATCACGAGAACAGCTAGGGGAAGAGAGTTCTAGACAGAGGAAATAGCAAGTACAAAGACCATGAGCCAGGATTGTGCTTGGTGAGCATGAGAAATAGAAAGGAGGCTAATGTGTGTGATGTTTGAGGCAGACTGTGGTAGAAAACAAGATCAGAAATGACAAGAGATTGCGTCATGCTTTGTAGGCCATGGTAAGAATTTGGGATTTCATTCTAAGTGCAATAGCGACGATTCTGAAATTGGAGTGTTCTGATTAGAGGAATATATGATCTGACTTACATATTAAAAGAATCATTCTGGCTGCTGTGATAACAAACTGTGAGGGGATAAAGGGGAAGCAAGAAGATCAGTTAGGAGGCTATTGCAGTGAGCCATGCAATTGGTGCTGGTGGCTCAAACTAGGGTTGTAACAGTGAAGTGGGGAAAGTGCTCAGAGTCTGGATATGTTTTGAAAGGAGAGCCATGGTATTTGCTGTTGAAATAGATATAGCATGTGAGTAGAGAAAATAAGAAGTCAAGGATGACTCCAAGGATTTTGGCCTGAGCAACTAAAAGGATGGTGATGGAGATGGAGAAGGCAACTAGAGGATTAGGTTTATAGGGAGAAGAAATCAGGAATCCTGTTTGGGACAAGTGAAGCTTGATATGCCTACTAGATATGTCTCCTAGTGGGGTTTTTGAATACATTGGTATACAACTCTGGAGTTTAGGCTAGAAGTCCAGGCTAGAGATATAAATTTGGGAGTTGTCAGCATATAAATGGTAAGGAAAACCATGAGATGGAGATGGAATGAAATCATCTAGGGAGTGAGTGAGAAGAGTGGACCTGAACCCTGGGGAGATATAATATTTAGAGATCAGGAAGATGAGAATTAATCTTCTCAGTTATTCACGATTTAGACACGTTTCCTTATAGAAGCCATGGGAGGTGGCAGTTTAACAGTGTGCCTTGGTTTCTAGTGTCAGATTATTAGAAATTTTAAGGGTTGCTAGTGGTTGCTTTATTTATTTTAAGAGAAATAGATTTACTTTAAAACTCAAATAAGGCTATTTCTACCCACTGACTGAATAATAAGACCCCTCCATTATTTTTCTTCGTAGCAAGTTTTTAATTGTTACACTATATGTCTTTTGTGCAATCTTTTGTTTAATGTTTAATGTTTGTCTTTCTTTGCATCCTCACTTCCCTGAAGACTATAAGCCCCACACAGCCTTGGGGATGTCTATCTTATTCAGCACTCTATTCCCTAGTGCCTAGCACAATGTTTGCTCCACAAGATCCTCAATAACAAAAGACAACTTTATTCATTTATTAACCAGAATGGGTTCTAAGTACCTATTAGTGGCCAGACACTGCCCAAGTTGCTGAGGATATAGAGGTACAGCAGACCCTGGCTTGAAGGATCTCTGAGCCTAAAATAAGACTGAGATGGATAGGAACAAAGTGATCTTTGCTGCAAGGTATCTGGACACGATCAATGTCTGCCCTTCATGTAGGGGGACTAAGTGGTCGCCTAGTGCATAGGAGAAGTTATCCAAGTTCTATATAACAACAAATACTGTTTGAGCATGGTATTTCACACCGTGTCATCATCATTTGAACCTCAAAGTGACTCTACAAGGTAGATATTATTATCCTTATTTTACAGATGAGGACACTGAGGTTCAGGATGTTTAATCAGACAAACAAGTCCTGCCGAACCAGGTAGATGAAACAGTGGCTGAACCAGGATTTCCTGAACCAGGGTCTCCTGACTTCACTTTCTACATTAGACTCCTTTATACTTAAAGACTTTATTATTTTAAGACAGAATGAAGTCCAACAGAATAAGAAGTGGTGCTAGAGAGATAAAAGCATTATTCTCAGAATAATGACATTTCTCTGCTTCTCCTAGCGCTGCTGGTCAAGGTCAAGTATTAGGGCTGGCTGGAGAATAGAAATTCCATCTTGGCTAGGAGGTAGAACTACTGACCTTGCTGATTGAATCTGTTCGATTGCTCTATAGCCTAGACAACAAGAACACTGATTGAGAACATTTGTTCTGTTACATTTACAAAACCTTTGCCAGATGCACACATACAGAAAGTATTTAGCCTTTTGCAGTAATCAAGAGCTGCAGCAGGATAAGAGCCAATCTCAGAAGCTGCTCCAGCTGCTGGGATTGTTGTTCCCATGTCTCTTTATATCTCCTTTATCTGTAAATTTAGAGTTTCTTTTCTTTGCTCATCATATACAATTTCCATCCCACCTGGAACCAACTCTAGAGAGAGATCTCCATAAATGTCAAATTATTTAAAAATATATACACCTGCTAAAGACCTCTTAACACCAGGTCATACCATGAAATATTGTCCATAATCTTTATTATGGCAATTTTAAGAATATTATATGATACTATTCATTATTTTTATTTATATTTTAGTCAGAGAATACAAAACTTACTGTCTCTCATCCAATAATAAAACTCCTAGTATTTCATTTAAGCAATATAGGATGAAGGTGAAATATAGAGAAAATTTTGACTGTCAATACCTATCAAATTTTATGTAACATCTATAACCAAGGTACATTTTATCTCACTGTATTTAACACAAAATATTATTTCATTTCATTTATCCACTTCTTAATGGTATGGAAGATCATGGGCATTTTACACTAATATCCACAACAAGCGAGATTTTTTTTAAGAAAAGGACAAAATGTTTAATAGAAGTTTATACTAAATGATAAAATAAGGCCAGGAAACATATCTAACTTCAATAGTTACTTGGTAGCTAAACAAACCATAATAACAGTTATAAAAATAAATACCCTTTTTACGCAGCAGAACGCTGGCATGTTTCCGTCCATTTCGGTTTTCCACATGACAGGTATAATTTGCCAGGTCAGCCTCCACCACTGAATCAAAGATGAGTGCCAACTCAACTTCTTTTTCTCCAAGATGCTCTTTGAGGAGCCTGAAATAAAGACAGTATTCTTGGCTGAATTGGTTTGATCTGGGGAGGGAGCAGCCGTGCAAAGCCTGCAGATGGTTATGTAGCTCATACAGGTCTCCAGTGGAGAATCCTGACTGGGTGTATCTGCAGAATCTTCTACAAAAAAAAACATAAAAAGTGGCTTTTGATGTGAAAATCAGATGGGAAAAGAAAGAGGCAAGGAATTCACTCAGCAAAAAGAAATATTAACGTGCCACTAGGCTTTGATAAATGTAGCCAACACGACTTGTATGGCAAAAAGGAGGAAACATTGGGCTCCATATTCTACGCTAAGCTTATGAAAAACAAACTGGATTTTTGCACCATGGCATCTAGGGAAAGAATCTGTGGGAGCGTAGGTTCTGTATTAGAGGTTAGAGTTTTGACAACAAGGGGTAGTAAGGTAAAGAAAGGGACCTTGAAAATTGTTGCCTTATAAGAAGTAAACTGAGGGTGTTTAGTGGCCTTCTAAATCTCCAAATATCAGTGAGAAGCCTGTTCTCTACTTTTATCCTGCCTTTTGTCCAATGCAGGCATGTGTCCTGGGCCCTAATCCCCCCAACGGTGTGAGCCCCGCCACCATGGCCTTGCTTTCTCCAGACACTGCTCCTCATTTGTCTTTCTCATTGCCCCCGTCACAGGAGAAGTCCTGCATTTTATGACATTTTCTCATAGTGCTGCTTTTTGCTTTCCCAAGTGAAGTTGCAAAAGGCCTTGAATGGCCAGGAACAGGTGTTCTTCACAGCAGAGCTGAGTTGCCAGGAACCTTTCCTGAGGAGTATGCCTCCAGTTTCTTTGAAGAGTTATATTCTCACCAATGGCCAGCTGCCTCCTGGGTGAGGTGAAAGTGGGTACCCTGCTGACTTTTCTTTTCTGTCTCCTCCTGCTTTTTGACCAAAGAAAGAGCAAATCGTGAGTCTACATGATGGCAATCCTTCTGTTAAGTTCTGGGATGACGTTCTTAAATACATGTATTTGCAAGCATGAAATATTTCAGACGGCAAATTGGGGCACTAGAAGTAATTCTCATCTCCTTTTTGGACACCTGGTTATGAATGCAGAGAAGGACCCTCTAATTTTCTGGCATTTAGCATAAAGTTGGAAAAGACAACTATGCTTAGAGAAAACTGTGTTCTAAGTACAGGCTTCTCACTTATAAGCACAAGCTGGATCCTTACAAAGCCATTAACTCAATGGCACCTTAATTTAACTCATCTTTGAGTTGGAAAAAATATCTATCATACTTACCTTAACTTTGTTGTGAATATAAAATCGGTTAAAGTGATTTAAAAAGTAAATAGCACTATGCACATGCAAAGGAATGTTATTAAACATCAACATTTCATTATCCAAAGGTAGATTGTTTCCGTTTTGGCTCCTCCAAAAATATTTGTATTTACATTTATTGATATTTAAAACTGGCTTGGCTTAATGTCTTCAGAAGAGATTAAGGAAGGGCTTAAAGTTGTAGTTTTCCTTTCTCTCCTCCCTCAACATACCTAACCAGGAAAAAAAATGGGAATTTACTGTCTTCACGATTTATGTTGAATTTTACTCTCTCCATTTTCTCCCTGCTTTGGGTAAATCCCACTACACTCAATTCTTTTAGTCCTGTGTAACCTGCTATGGAAGAACCCCTTTAGTGCCAGAAGCTGCTTAGGCACCACAAATTAAGTCTGATTTAAAGTTTCATGTGTAGGGCAGCCACAGCCTCTGCCAGGCGTGAGGCAGAAAGCTGATCCTGTCTCTCCAGACCATGCCTTTCGTTCTTCATTTCCAATGTAGTTTCCAAAAACAGGCTTCTTCACAGGCTGCAGAAAGAATCTGGAGAGAGGATTTGAAAAATGATCCTTCATCTGTCTATTAATATATATGAGGTGTCTTAATTATCAGCTCTTGAAAATCTAGAGGTGACTTGCTTTTCTGGAATTGAAGAGCAAGTTGGTGTTTATGTCTACAAATAACTCTGTAGAGCAGTCACAATTTCCTAGCAAATATTGATATATATCAATCTATCAATGATCTTTGCCAATCCCCTAATAAGTGCCTAGCTCTGGGCTAGATATTTGGTATAAGAGAAATATAAGCATTAAAAGACTTGGTGCCTGCTCCTAGTGGGCATTAAAATTTAAACAAGGAGACAAGAACTACACAGTTGAAAAAAATATAGAAAGAATGAGGTAAAGCAGGGTGGTACAGTCATGCTTACAATGAGATTTCAAAGAAGAGAGAGACTATTACTGACTAAATTAGCTGGAAAAAGCTTAAGAAAACTCTGCCTAGACAAAAGGAAGAAGGGAGAGTTTTCTAGGAGGGAAGATAAGAGCAAGTCTTTGCAGAACATGTGCAAGATACTGAAGAGACTGGTTTTGTAATGAAGGATACAAATGAGGGGATCCTGGGATATACTTCAAATAACTTCAGAAGTATCTCATTCTAAGGATCAACAGTGAAGGCAAATTCTATGTAACAGTGAACACTGGTAAAATAAAAATAATAAATTCAGGTGACAGAAATCACTACCTTCAAAAGTTTTATGTAGTTACCAATTATTAAAAAGTAATACTAGAAAAAGTTTGGAAATTGTCACTTTCATCCATACAACAAGAAAAAAGCTGAACAATGTACTGGAAGTGTACTGGAAGCAGAAACCCAGGAGCAGGAGCCAGGACCAGTAGAAACACTTAAACTGTAATTGATGAGTCACTACAGGCCCAGTATGGACGAGCTTGAGAGTTAAAACTCCATGGGATATAATATTAGGGGTGTCCCACACTTTTGTGAGTTTTGCTTCCAAAAGCCCTACCAAGGTCTCAGGGTGAAGGTTAGAGAAATGTTCTCTTATGCTTCTGGCAAAGGAAGAGGAAAAGCAACTATCTTGAAATGAGCCCAGAGCACACTATTCTCCTTAAGAAAGGCCTGCCCTCAAGGTAAACTCTTTTACCAGAGCCTAAACCACTTGAGTTTTACCAAACCTAGCTGAGGGAGGGGAAATACCCAACTCTAACCCCCTCAAGCTTTCCTGTCTCACCTAAAAAGGGGAGGAAAGCTGAGAAGCACTTTTGAAGGTCACATCCCAGAGGCACAGGCTCACTAAAAGACTAAGACTTCATCATAGAATTATATAGCACATCAATCACGATCCTGTATGATAACAAGGACTTTTGTCTGAAAGAACTGCAAAGCTCAGATGATATTCAAGAAGCAGTTTCCAGGAAAACCCAAAGACAACAGTGGAGACATAAACAAGTACACTATAGAAAATTTTAGCCTCTTACACCTACAAATACAGCAAACAGTAAACACAGCCCAACACCTAGCTATATAAATACAGAATCTCACACTAAAGGCCAATTTACCTCAGTTCCTTTTACCTGATACATCATATGTGGCTTTCAATAATAACAACAAAACTACAAGGTATGTTAAAAAGCAAAAAAACACAGTCTAAAGAGACAAAGCAAGCATCAGAAACAAATTTGGATATGGCACAGGTTTTGGAATTATCAGACTGGGAATATAAAATAACTGTGTTTAATATGTTAAGGGATCTAATGAAAAAAGTGAACAATATACATCAACAGATGGGTAATGTAACCAGAGAGATGGAAATTCTAAAAAGGAATCAAAAATTAATGCTAAAAATCAAAATACTGTAACAGAAACAAAGAATCCTTTCATGAGCTCATCAGTAGACTGGACACGGCCAAAAAAAGAATTAGTGATCTTGAAGATACATCAATAGAAACCTCCTAAACTGAAATAAGAAGAGAAAAAAGCATGAAAAAAAATATCAAACATCAGAGGGATAATTACAAAAAGTGTAACATATATGTAATGGAAATACCAAAAGAAGAAGAAAGAGAGAAAGGAACAATAGAAATATTTGAAGTATTAATAGCTGAGAATTTTCTAAAGTTAATACAGACACCAAACCACAGATGCAGGAAGCTCAGAAAATACCAAACAGAATGAATACTAAAAAATCTACACTTTTATATATCATATTTTAACTACAGAAAATCAAAGACATCATAGAGAAAATCTTGAAAGAATCCAGAGGAAAAAATCTTACTTATAGAGGAACAAAAATAAATACATTAGTCTTCTCTTAGAAACCATGAAAGCAAGAAGAGAGTGGAGTAAAATATTTAAAGTATTAAAAGAAAACAACAACTAACCTAGAATACTGTATCCATCTAAATTATCCACCAAAAGTGAAGGAGAAATAAAGAATTTCTCAGACAAATAAAAACTGAGGGAATTTGCTGCCAGTAGACCTGCCCTGCAAGAAATTATAAAAGAAGTTCTTCAGAGAAAATGAAAGTGACATTGGATCTACATAATGAAAGGAAGAATGTTAAAGAAGGAATAAATTAAGATAAAATATTTATTTTTCCTATTCATAATTGATCTAACAGGTTAACAGTTTGTTTAAAATAATAATAGCAATAACAGCAGTTATAAGAAGAATAAGTTCTGAGGATCTAATGTACAGCATGGTGACTATAGTTAAAAATACCATATTGTATACTTGAAAGCTGCTGAGAGTAGATCTTAAGTACTCTCACCATATTTAAAAAAAGAGTTAACTATGTTAACTATGTGAGATGATGGATGTGTTACTTATCTTGATCTTGGTAATCATTCTATAACGTATATGTATATTAAATCATCATGCTGTATATTTTAAATATATACAATTACATTTGTCAATTATTGTTCAATAAAATTAAAAATATGAAAAAATAATAGCATTAAGGTATTTGGTGATTACAGCTTATGGATAAGTAAAATTAATGACAGCAATTTTATAAGGGACAGAATGGAGGAATCAAGAATACTCTGTTATAAGGTGCCTAAACTACCTGTGAAGCAGTATAGTATTTTACAGTGAATTTAGATTAGCTGTAGATGTATATTGCAAACTTTAGGGCCATTGCTAAATTTTTTTTTAAGTACAATAGATATGCTAAGAGAGA